CCCTTAGTTGCCATTAGCAGTATGGGCTATTAATTAACAGCTGTGTCAAAGGAATATGTCAGCCTTAGTCACTAACAAGACTACAAGATCGCGCCATCCAACACTCATCTCCATTCATACTTGGCTTAAAATACCTACTTTGTATGGTCACCATTTCAATGAAAAAAAAAATAAAATTAATAATATATATTAATACTTAAAATACTTTTCAATTTATTCAGAAATAAAGACATTACATGTATTGTATACAACAAAACAATCTATAGTTAGGTCTCTGCAAGGCCAAGTAGCTCAGCATGCAGAAACTGAGTCACAATATCAAATGAACATTACACCTTAATCAGACTGTTTACTATTACATTGTGACATGACACAATTACACTATTACATTGTCAGTGTTCTTATGAATGAATTACAGTACTGTACTTAACAATGTAAAATAAGGTGAGGAAGGTACTGTAAGTATAAGAGACTTCATGGCAATATACCATGGAAAATATATTTCAATCCATTATAGGGTACTATATTGCTTGCTGAATACTGAAGGCCACAGGAAAATGCTGAATACATTTGTATTGTTGAAATTGTCAACGAAAGAATCTGGCGACCGTGGACACACACATACTCCCGAAACACTCGAAAGCACACATACCTACTCACACCGTTTACTATTGATACAAAAGTTGATCTTCAAACCTTTAGCACACCAAATTTTCCTCTCATAATATCTAACTAGCTTATTATTAGACCTAGTTAGAGACACCATTGTACTGGTAATTAAAGAGTCTATCTCATTCTGATCAATACTTAACCAGACATTTACAGCGTTTTTAAAGAACCAACACTATTCTGAAATGAAACTTTAACCTATCAAGTAATTTTGGAGATATATTCTCAGCTGTGTTGATTTATATATTTCATGTTTTACAGGTTGAATTGTTCCTTTACTCTATTGAAAACTCACCAGAACCGTTCTCCCTTGAACAAATGGTGGAGCCGTCTCGAGAAACTATATTAGATGTAAGTTAAGTTTTTATTTGACAGATATGAAGATACTAGCTTTACTAGTGTTTCAATATTGAAAACAACTGCTTTCAAATAAACCAGGATTCAAAGACATCATCTATGCATTTTGTCTTACATGTAAACTTTACACACTCAAATCTTGCCCACCTAATTGCTGCTCAATTGAATGTTTACTCTTACATCTGTGGCTGACAAAATTCCCTTTTATCCTTTTTTCTGCCTTCATATTATTTACACTCTAATTTATGATTTCAATTCAATATATAAAATCATTAGGAACTATGTCTTTTGGTTTGTGTAGTTGTTTGTGTCTTGCTAAACCAAAGGTTAACACATGAACTTTGAGCGTGAATGACTGTATTGATTAATTTCTACAGCATATAGACATTTTTTTGGTAGATTAAGGACATCAGATAAATTTTCAGTCATGTTATGTTTTATGAAGTCTACGGCCTTTTTTCAACACTCTTATAGAATAGTTGTATTTTTTTACAGATTCTGGAATTAGCACTGACCATCATGGTGATACTTCTACAGTTCCGAGTGTCTTCGTAGTTATGAAAAATGTAATTTCAATGTAGTAGATGTTTAACAAAAAAACTGTTTAAACTTTTAATTGTAATCTCAAAATTTGTTCATGTCGTCTGCATTAAATTTGCACAGATTATTAAGCCTCTCATAGGTTATTTAATGTTCTCTGACAGAAATTTTCTTGGAGGGATTAAGATTATTAATACACTACTATATCACAGATAAAATCATAATAATTATACCTTTGTTTGGCAAAAAAATTATTTATCGTTATTGGTCAAATTTACTATCTGTATAAAACTGTGAAAATTAAACAAATAACGCTCGCCTTACATGTCATGTTAACATTATCTATGATCCCCTAATCCCGAGGGACTGGGAGGGGTTGTAATTTTAGTTTGAATTAGGTAAAATAAACATTTGACCTTACTACATTACACCTAATGTGCCAAACATTAATCAAGATAATTATTCTCCCAGAGACTGCTTCAGCGTGTTTTGAAATGGATTTAGATCTCAATAGCTGGTAAGTAAAATGTGTTAAGTATTGAAACCAATGTACAAATTTATGATTAAGTAATATAAAGCTTAATATTATAGGGAGAGTTTTATCTTTGATATTTGCCATGACAGAGTTCCGTTAAACTATGTAGTTTTTGGTTTTGTGCTCTCTGAGCGTCTCTGCCTGGTTTACCGATAACACCTTGGATTTAAATAAATGGATGACTAAGAGTTAGCTCAGTCAGAGAAGAATCAGCTAGAAAATCACAGAGATTGTGGTACTTTGTATTAATTCATACATATATTATCATACTACAGATATGACGTTAGCTATAGAATGTAAAAAATTGTCCGAAGCAATAATGAACTATATTTTTATTATTTAACTTGAATTAAAAATTTATTCATTTAATTAATTTTGTACAGAGCATTGGAGTTGATAAAAGAGAAGATAAAGATAGTATTTATTTACGACCACCATCACCATATCAGAATCTGTTTACCAAGAACTTTACTTAACTATTGTATTAACCTAAATCCCATCATGGGCTTATTAAAGAAAACAAAAATTTAACCAAACTAATAGTGCTACTATTGTATTACATAGTTGATTTTCTAATTTCTATACTTCATTTTTTCCACAGTAATAGCTTTAAACAGAGGCGATTCCAAAGGGGGTGGTTGCTATAAGGGCTAAAGACCCCCCCCCCCATTGGGTCCTGAAAATATAAACTTAATTTACACATACATTTTGTCACAAAAATGTAACGGGGTTTTTTTACACAGTTCTAGACATTCAAAATGACTTTAAAAGTCACCAAACAGCTTTGAAAACAGCAAATTTCCTGGGAGGAGAACCCCCCTCTTGGGGTGGAACACCAAACCCCCCCCCCCCACCCTTGACAAGGTCCTAGAACCGCCTATGGCTTTAAATAACTACTTTTTCAATGTTTATGATAAACAAAAACTTGAATTAGAAGTAAGTTTTCCTCATACCACTAAGATTTCTTGGTATCATATTTATTGTAAACTCAAAATAATGCTACCTGTAAAAAACCAATTAATGAAATCAACTCCCTCATAATGAGAGCTCAGACATAGTAAAGAAAATTTTCATCGCCATTGTCATGGGTGAGGGAATGATATACTTACACAACCATGACTAAGTGATAAGTTTTATGTAAGTGTATTTTACCTGAATCTTATTATTGACAGCCATGTTGTCTTTGTCATGAGTAGTGGTGGGGCTCTCTTCTGCTGATTCCAGATCCCAAAACGTTGTGTTCTTACTAATTTTAATGGTGGGGAGCAAACTCGTCTAATGGTAGAGCGCGGGGCTTCGGTGCCCAAAGTCCTGGGTTCAAATCCCACCAATCACCAATGGATTTTATCTATAATGCCGCAACCCACTAGTACTAGCCTGAAGTAATTTGTAAAACAGTTCTGGGCTAGAACCACTGTCCTAGGATGTAAAGGTGGGACATAAAAAAGAAAAAACTAATTGTGATGGAAAATGTCCGCAATAATTGCTTAAACAACAATAGCCCATGTCTTCACCTGCTACAAATTACATAGGTACTCTTCGCGCTTTCTTAACTAATAAACTTAAAGTTCCAGTCCAGTAATGGAGATTCAACATGAAGACTTGCCAAGTATCACTGAACTTCCACCAATGCAGAGAGGTGTTTAAGCAGAACTCACTGAGTCAGGAACCTCAAACCCATCCACTACATGCTACGGTTATGGCACTTCGACTGATGGGACGAATGCCAGTGTCAAGGAATAAGTCAGGTGCCTAATTTTTTGTGGTTGTGTTTAGTAGTTTTTGTGGCTTGACTGTTCTATAGATGAAGTTGTGCTTTGGTGCTTACATAGTTATGAATCAATTGGCTGCCCCTCTAAAAGCTGCCACCTACTTTACATCACATTCATTTTTATAGTTTTTTAATCTTCAGGTTTAATATCTTTGTACGTCTCAGTCTTCTTTCAAAAGAACAATGATCCTCTCAATAACAACCAAAATTGTTTAGGTTTTTCTTGACGGAAACAAAATTAAATGTCAACAATATTTCAGAAGTTGTGTATGCTAACTTTTTGGTTTTGATTGTGGATTGCAATTTTAATTGAAATTAACATGTTAACAATTAAGGGCAAAATTCAGGAATTGCTCTCCTAAGAAGATTAGCTAATTCTATTTTACCTCGATTGACTCACATATGACATGTAAAATTTGAGTAAATGGAGCAACAACACACAAAACTTAACAGAATTTTAAAGCAATAAAAAATATAATCATTACGGTATATAGATCTTAATACAAGGCTCTTGGCTCTTGTAAAAGATTTCATAAACTTTTGTGAACTGGGTATTTTATCAGTATTTTGTATATGAATGTGTTATGTATGTGAAACAAAAAATGGCTCATACCGGTTTTCTGGGCCTCAATCATTCTTTAACACTGTGTACAAAAATTATTTGAAATTGGAAACACATAAATTAGAATATTTTTAAGAAAAATACTAGGTACTTAAGAAAGTTAGTGACTTGCCTACAAGGTGTTCATTGCGAGTCCTTGTTCGTAGCCTCTACACCTTCACAGAGACACCACGTCATAAACTCAACGAATGTTATTCCGCATAAATCTGTGTATATAGTGTTAGAAGAACACTCTACAATCTCTCTAAAAGATGGCACACACTGTGGTGAAATATATTGGAGAAAACACAAGAATTTCTACATGAACAAAAGCTGCAAAATAAGGTTCTGTAATTTAAATAATTCTATGTTTGATAACCGGGTTAGAGCCAAGCGCCCTAGGATGTGAAGGTGAGACAGAAAAAGAAAGAAACCCCCAACTTTCTTTATTAACTCCTTTATTGTTGGTTTCAGGTGATTACTTGTTCAGTATAACTTCTCGATGGACCTTCTTCTGTGTAATCTCCATGGTTCTTCAGATAGTGATTGTGATTAAAGTTCTACTCAATTACTACGTTCAGAAGGAAAGATGGAGCACATTTGACTCTGCTGTAACTCATCTTATGAACGCCTCCATTCTAATCACAGTGTCTCATGGAGTTTTGTTCACTTGGAAAAACTCTCAGAGAATAGCAAACGCTCTTAACAATTGGAAATTTCTTCAAGTGGGTATAAGAATTGATTTGTTGAGCAATCTTTGACGTTAGATAGAATCATTCCCATATAGCTGTGGTTTCTAATTAGACCGCTGTGTAGTTAGAAATCGCTGTGGTTGTTTGGGAGTGAGCGGTTTTCAACTAAATTGAGTCAAATGAGACTGTTTATGCACGGCGGGAGCGGGAGCGGCTGCAGCGAGGGTTGCCAACTTGGCCAACCTAACCACGCAAACGTGCATTGTCTTCAAGGTTCGATTAGAGGTTATTTGTTTACTTTGAGCTAGTTAGTTATAGTTGGCAAGACTGTGTCCCTCAATCCGTTCGCCGTTGACCGACTGCTACCGCTATTGCTTGCACAATTTAACAGTATTTTCACAATTCCCCAATCCCGCTCCTCGTGCATAAACACAGCCTTATCGCAAACTATATCATATTCTAAGTCACATAATAACAAAAACCAAAAGAGAAAATAGAATTTGGACTGTAGCTCAATCGGTAAGTGGCTCAGTCAACCATGTTTCATTTGAATTTAAAAAAATTCCTACAGTTGATTCATATCAATGGGATTTTTTTAATCAGTATACAAACTGTCAGTGGTATCATTTACAATTTACAATATTTGTAAATAAAACGTAAATGGTAATTTTTTGTAAATTTTAAGCTCATCCAAAAGTTATTCGATAAAAACGTAGCTTTACAGACCAGGTTTAAGGGTTAAATGTCAATTGGTAATCGTGAAAATTACTTTACGATTATGAACCAAACTCTGACATACATTTCCATTACCAAAGTTTACAGCAATAGCATAAACGACTTGGTAATGTATAAAGGACAGTTACAGATTTATACATTTGGTACAACGTTGTATTTATAGTTATTTAACAAATGTTTCAGAACTCTTTTCAATCTGTCACATCCAAACGTATATCTTCATGGCTGCTGGATCACCCATATCTTGGAATCTCGATCCCTACGTTTTATCTCATCATTATTGAGTACACACCAGTCATCTTATACTACATCCTGCAAACAAACATGAACAGGAGATCAGGTGTTGTTACATACTTTGCATATTTCTGTGCAACATGGTACATCAAACTTGTGTTGTGGTTTTGGCTGATTTTTACCCATTCTGTCTCCCAAGCTTCACAAATCCTGAAGATCAGTTTTGCGGAGGTAATTTATTTGTTGCGAATCCTTGTAGTTTTAGTACCTTAATTGACTAATTATCTATAATTTTTGTTAGAATTGTTTTGTGGCAATATCCGACTACAGCTGTGTAAGAGGATAAGTTTGTGTTTGACAAAATACTCCACCTGACTAAGAAATATTGGGAAACGATGGTGTTAATTTGTAGCAAAAAGTTCTGAACTACACTGAGTCCCAGAATATTACTTCCTCCTTTTGATTCTTACTGGAATAAATTATACAGGGAGGGTTGAGTGAATAGTTTCATGCTTAGTAAGTTCTTCAGTAAGAAGAAAATATGTTGGAAGAATGGTTTAGGTTTCGTAAAATGTAACAATCAGTTTGCAACTATCAGTTTCCAAACAGCTGTCCGACAGCTGTGAAAATAAGTGCCAGAACTGCAATGCAGAAAACAAATCAGGAAATAGCTTAAAAAGTTGTTTGTATAGGAATCAAATTGGTAAAATTGTCAATATGCCACCCTTTTGTTTCTTAAAAAGTTAAGTAGCTTTAATTTCCATAAAATATTTTAAAAAAACCTGCTTGAGAAATTATGTGAAGTTTAAAAACTTTTGGTGCTTGAACGGCCAAATAATTTAATGTCTAAACCTCTTCATGGGACATTCTGTACATTTGATTTCACTGCAACGATTTACTAATTCCTCTTCTGATGCAAGATGATGGCAGGAGACCCCACTGTGAGCAGGTTGCGTCTTCACCGTACTCTTTGGCTTGAACTACACAACTACACTTGTGCTGTCACCGCTGCGGTTGGCAACACTGTCCGAGCCTGGTTGTTCAACCTGGTAATGTCGTTCTACTTCTCTATCTACGCTTGTTCCATGAGTTTTGCCAATGGTACCAACAAGACCAGCACTATCATCCCCCTGCTTGCCAGAGGTCTACAAGCTTTTCTTGTCAACAATGCTACTTCTCGAGCTGAATCCCAGGTATTTGTTTATGATTATAAGAGAATACTGCATTTTTCCACAATGTTTTGAGATCTGAAATATGATTGACTTAGGTGATATAGCGTTTAAACATTATAAAAATTGTACCTACACAATTCTTCAGCAAAGTTCAGCGCTCCACCACTAGACTAGCTCGCTCCCAGAGAGGTGAAGTTATCGGAAGTTTAATGAAACAAGAATGTTCAGTCTTACAAGTATGGGAGCAGAGTTTCAACCTATGGAGTATTGTGGTAATTGCATGCTGTTGTACTACTTTTCAAAGATAACTAATAGGTGTGAATGACATGAGGCAGGGATTAAATGGATTACTACTTTGGATGTAGGCTCTGAGTTCTGTAAATACATTTATACTGAAGATTTAAAATTATATAGTTTTCTCACTTGACGATTAATGTTCCCTTATTAGTATTTTGTTTTTACAAATTACTAAGGCTGTCTATGGAAGCCAAATGATAGATGACACCGCTGACAGTGTTAATTGTATTCCAAAAGTCTCTTTAAAAATCCTGAGGAAGAAATAAGTAATCATGTATAATCCACTACGCATGATTACCTATATTAGTCTATAGTCAATTAATGTACATAAAATATTTGTGGGACAAAAGTCTTCAACTGTTACAGATGAGTGAGGATTTTATCCTGAAAATTTTAAGTTTTAACTTCAGTGAGTTTACACAAGACCAACTGGAAGAAGTAAGTTTCTGACATAATTATAGTGGATCTTTTTAACCCTTAATCATATAATTTACCTATGTTTGTTATGATAAAGGGAAACATACAACCTCAAGTCCAATCACAAAGAAAGCCTTAACAAACAAATTCCAAATTATGTAAACTTCTCATTTTTGCATTTTCAAGAGGTTGGCCGCTGCTTTTAACTTTAATTAGCCTTACATTTGGCCTTAACATGTGCATAGAACGTTTCCAGCAAAGCACGGGGTGATCTGGAATAGTGCTAAACATGATCTGTTCTGATTGAATGTTTGAATGTAGTGGGGAGCACCAGGATCCTAACCTACGACATTGCTGCATTGGGTTGTAGACAGTTGCGCTGCCGACTAATCAATATCCCTCTTAGATCACTCTTTTATTTGGGTGCTAAAATTGTGGAACACATGTCTTTAGCAGAAAGAAATTTCATAATGTCTACCTACTGCTTATGGTGGTCTTAAAACTACCTATTTAGTTATATCATTCACTTTTGGGTAGGCCTACTGTAGTCTTTAATAGACATCCCATCCAACACCCATTGGCTGACGCCAATCTTTTGTTACAAAAGAACAAATTTTTATATATTTTTTTTAAGCTGAGCACTCAATGTTATTTAAATGGGTTTCATTACTTCACTAGTGAGTTTTTGAAACTTTACTTCACTCGTGAAGTAAAGAATTTGTTTACATCACGCTTGGGATAGGGAAGTTTAACATGGCGGGTTGTGTAAAACAATCTTTTCCCTATGTATGGTAAAGCGTTGTGTTACAGATTGAATTATTTCTCTACACTATTGAAAACTCTTCTGGCCGCTTCTCACTTGAACATATGGTAGAACCATCACGTCAGACTATACTTGATGTGAGTAGAACATATGGTATTTCTAATGAAATGCAGGGTGTTGGTTATGTCAAACCCACTGTTGTATATGATACATAAAATAAAATAACTCAAACCGTTTTGCTTGTTAGTAATTAAATAAAGGTTAATCTTGACAGATAACAGATGGTATATGATTGGTTTAGTTTCCCTATCCTACCATTACCTAGGGCCAAATCCTGTTTGGCAAATCCTCACTAAACTAGTTTCATAAAAATTACATTATAATAAGGTTTTGTATGAAAAACTGAAAAATAGCATAAATATTTTTAAAGGGAGTGTTGCTGAAGGTCTAAATCCTGGAAGGTCTAATTAGACCTTCGGCAAACAAAACTTGTTGCTGAGGGTCTAAACGGACAGACGGGATTTAGACCTTCAGCAACTGATCCTTTTAAAATATTAATTTGTAGTTTTGTTGCAGATTTTGGAGTTAGGGTTGACCATCATGGTTGTACTTCTTCAATTTAGGGTGTCCTATTAACTATAAAAATGGTTTACTTCATATTTTTTTTTTTATTTTTAATAAAAATGTATCAAGTATTCTGCACTTGTAATTTCTTTTTACCCATTTTACATCAACGCTGAATAATATAAATTGTTGGCCAGAAAAGTGGAAAAAAGATTAACTATTAGTGGCCACATAGAAGAAGTTTTAGGGTGGTTTTGGTTTCTTAATTTTTTTAGGATTTGATAACAAGGTTTGATATAATGCAAAAATGCTAGTGAATTAAAAAAAAAAATCATTAACAACTGTACAACTCAATTAGGATCAATTCCTTGAGACACTGGCGCACACATTGATGGCATTGTTGGAGTTTTACAATATGGTTCAGTCATTCAACTTTTAAGCTCAACCCTCGCAAACGCAGGCATACCATCATACAGGTATATTACATTAACTACGGTAACATAGTTAGGCAGGTAACTACATAAATTTGGTAACAGGTACCTAGATAGCTACATTTAGTTTGCATGTGGCTGGTCTATCACTCTTTGATGTGTTTCCATTGTTTACATTATTGATGTGTTTTACACATGAAACACACCCTTTAATTTGTGTTGACATGTTTATGCAACATAATAACAAAAGATAAAATAGCTTCCAAACATGATGGCTAGAAAAATGTAATGTTTCTTGAAAGCTACTGGTTTGTTTGCACAGGGGTCATTTGAATGTTAGTTTAGGAAAATGTCTGTGCTATTAGCAGTTTTATTGTGGTTCTTACTTTTAACAACACAGTTCTCCACAGTTACCTGTTGAAGTTGGTGAACTACACGTAGCTATCTTGGACTGTACAAGTTTTAGAGCTAGAAAACTTGAGTGGTGTGACAAACGTTTATGAAATTGCATTATGACTATGTTCAATTTTTACCAGCTGATTTTCATCAATTTTGCTTGACTTTGATGTATGCCATACCCAATATCTGACACCTATAATTTTTATCTAATCATTTATAAAGCTGCACTTATAAGAGTTTCCTCAAAATAACATAATTAATTTATTGTAGGCTATACTGTTGTGATGAAGGATTATTTCAAATTCATTAAATAAATAATTGATACTGTTAGAGGTTTTAAGTTTTTATCTAATTGAATTTTTTTTTACTGTGTGTTGCCAAATCATGAATGACTTGAAAAGTGGAATGTTACCACATTTGATCACATATGCTTGTAAGCATGAAGATGAACTACTAAAGCATCCACTTCATGCTTCAGTGGTAATTCTTCGTCTTCTTGGACGTCTACCACTATCAATAAAATCAGGTACTGTATCTTAAAAACTGAAATATTACCTCATGTGCATGTGCAATAAATATTGAGAGAGCCTCTTTGAATCTATATATAAATCCAAAAGTACCCATGAACTTTTGAGAAAACTACAAGTCACACCCCCATAAACCTTATACTTAAAATGTTCGTCATGGCGAGAAACCTTGCGCAAAACTATCCATTATTTCATAAATTGCCCTTTAAGGTCATAATTGCTTTCCAGGGAACTTTCCATATACCTAATGTTAAAAATACCTCAGCTGTACTTACTTGTTTGTATTACTGTATTCTATTTTGTTTATTTTAGCTTAACTAATCAATAATTTTATTAATACTTATGAAGTCAAAAGGGATGAAGTCCGTGGGTAACAGCTAGTTATGTTTAATACATTAAAAAACTGGATAGTCCAAATATATGGGTCATCTACTTCAGTATTCAAGGATAAGGTGTAACCATAAAAAATACTTTTCTTTTTATTTTGCAGGGCGATTCTCGTTCAAAATCAATTCCTGGTGGATGTTTTACTGTTTTTTATCTGTAACTGTTCAGTTTGTATTTGCACTGGCAGTGTTACGGACTAGCTTTACATCCAAGAGAGGTTGGTCGGGATTTGACTCTACAATACAAACCCTAATGAATCTTTCTTTATTGACCACAGTGCCTCAAAGTATACTGTTAACATGGAGAAAATCTGGCAACATCGCCAGTGCAATCAATCAATGGAAAACATTTCAGGTATTTTAAATTTTAATTTTTTAATATATAAAACAATGTTATCACTTTCAATTAATCCATTTCCTGGTGTTTCATGTTACAAAGGAACATGTTTCTGCTATTTTTGAACGAATTAGGAAATTGAATAATTTTGAACTAGCAAAATTAGCTGATCATATAAATAGTTGGATTGGAAGCTTTGATAGAATCGGTTACAATTTAATTTAGATATTGAATCCCCATAGTTAAAGCTAGCTATACTGGTTTTAGAATAAAAAATTGACAGTTATGGTACCCCTGCTGATGAATCAAGCCACACTGTCAGACTCGCCAGAGTGTGTTGAAGCTAATAACAGATTTTTATGAAATTTGCTAACTTTTTAACCGAGTTAAATTGAAAAAGAAAACAACTTGATAACAGTAACTTTTATGTCACACCAATATCATTATATCAAATTAAGGGGGAATGTAGAATTTTAACAATAATAAGCCATATAAGACATGAGATTTTATTGGTCTTTTTACATTCACATACATTGACAAGTTAAAACTCCAGCATACATTCAGTATTTCGTCCTTAATAATGATTTCAGTCTTTCATTAGCATTGTATTGTAAAACTTAATTTGAAATTGATTGAAATAAATAAATCCCCAACTGTCTGAGTGTAGGTAATTAACTCTGTCAGTGGATAATACATTTTGTATTTCAATACAATTGCTACAGCTGCTGGTCCATATAGATGGAATGTCTACATTAGTCTCAAAAAGTCTATAGCTGTTGGGATTTTGTCTATAAGTTATTGGGCTGTAAGCTCATTTCATAATGGATCTCTTTCTGTATTTGTAATTATATGACTTTTAATTATAGTATTTGGATCTGTACAATGCCAATACATTAGGGTGTGTGTTTGTTTTGTGTGTTAATCGCAAAGATGAATGTTCATGATCAGTGTGGAATGAATAAGATGACGGCTTTACTGACTATGATCAGCCATGGTTTTTTCAGCCAGGACATTTACTAACCATTGGTTATTGAAACTATGACCTTTGACGCTAGTAATTTATAATAAACACACTTAAGTTAAGATTACTAAGCACGGTAACACATGCAATAATGACCACAAGGTGATCGCTACATCCACTCAGCTACCTAGCTATAGACTTCTCATCAACTCTGATATCCAAACTTATCTATTTCAGAAAACCTTCCAAGAAGTCACCAGAAGATCTATTTCGTCTTTCCCGCTAGAACACCCAAACTGGACAGTCTTTCTTATAGCATTCTGTTCATCTCTCACAGACTTTATTCCAGCCACAATAAGTTATCAACGAACAGTTAAAGATCAATTCAAGATCCATGTGTTTGTGGTGTATGGTGCCACGGTTTTGTATGTAAAAATGATTCTGGCTATTTGGCTTATGCATACTCATTCTGTCTCGCTAGCTGCAAAGCTTCTCAAGGACAGTTTGGTAGAGGTAATATTTCATTTTTAACTTGTTTACCAACATAATAAGTGAGGGGTTACCAGTGCACCAGTGAGGTACAACATCAGCTGTTTCCTCCACAGCTTTACTGATCACTGTTAAGCCAGGACAATTAACTAAATGCTTAAACCAGTTGAAACCTGCTGGGACAGTTTCAAACATTGAATATCTATTGACTTTTCTAAGGATCAAAATAGTGTGTTGAAAGTTTTCCGAGTACTATTTGTTTAGTGTTTTTACCATTTAGAGTTACCTAGCTATTTATGTACTCTGTAGTTCATTGTTAATAGCTAGAGAGAATATAGTTATTTCTCTACATTCTTTTCTAATTCCTCCTTCGATTCAAGATGCTGGCTGGAGATCCCACTGTCATAAAGTTACGTCTTCACCGTTCTTTGTGGGTCGAACTACACAACTACACTTGCGCTGTCACTGCTGCGGTTGGCAACACTGTCCGAGCCTGGTTGATGACCAACATTCTAACAGCAAGCCTGAGCGTTTATGCGACTGGAATAAGTTTTACCAACAACGAACCCCTCAAAGTCTCAACATACACACCGATAATAACCTGCGCTCTGCCTGTCTTTCTTATCAACAATGCTTCCTTCATGGCTGATGATCAGGCAAGCTTAGATCTTACTATTCATATGTTTATTTGTGCATTTGTTCACTGGTTGGTTTTTTTGTTTGTTTGTTAGTTTTTTGTTTGTTTTATTTATTTTTGTCATTTATCTTTATTCAGAAAATTTTATCAGACAGTAAAGAAAAAAACCGATGCTCAGATTGGTTAAACGTTTCTGAGGTTAATCAATGTTATTATTTGCCAACAACTTATAACTAAATCGGAAATATCCCTGGTAAAGTAAACAGGGAAGTAAAAAAAAAACAATACAACTTTAGAGTGACAATGTCAATCTATACCAACACAATCTACCATTGTCATTGTTTTCGATTTCACTACTTTGTCTGAGTTTTCATGACAAATTTAGTTTGTCTGGTAAAGCATAGTTGTTTTGTATATGATGTTTGGCTTTAACTTTCCTGCTTACTTTACTTTATTTATATTGACAAACCTATAGTTATAAGAGATAGTTTTTATATCAATGAAGATTTTTAATATTTCTATTGTTTCCAGATTGGTAACAATTTCATAGTTAAATTATTATCATTTAACTATCATCAATTCTCAGACAGTCAACTAGAAGAAGTAAGTTGTTAATACTTTACAATATTTTAAGCACAGTAATTCTTGGATACCAATTAAAAATTTCAATTGATATTGATAAAACTCATAAGTTATCTTAAGATATCAATGTGTATATTGGTTTTGTAAAAGAAACAACATAACCTCTATTTCAAACACTAATTAACACATTTTTTCTAAATTTTGGAAATATATTATTATTTTTGTATTAGTATGACGAAATTGATCTTGGTTCTGGTGTGTGTATTCTTGTCAGTATAATTTTTCTCACAATTTTGTTTTGAAAGCTAGTGTGAACCTCGATGAGGTTATTACGATTTTGTTTTGGGCTTACAGAGGAAGTGATATTTTAAAATCAGATTAAGCTCTTATCCAAAGGTTGAAATTTACATTTTCTCAGAAATATTAGAATCAAATATTTGACAACTCAAAAATTAATATGATCCGCTAAAAGATATTTATGTAAGAAAAGATATAACCACAAATGAATACCGCAGCTTATAAATGGGTCATTACAACTAAGATGATGAATTAATGCTGAGATTGATAAAAGAATAAGATCAAGGACCTTTAAAAACGAAAAACACTATAAGCTTTACAAAAAACTACTGTATATAGATAGAACTTCACAAAAACCATACATAACAGTAAGTATATAAAATACTTCAACTGTGTGGCGTTCTGTTGAAAAAATACCACGGTCGCATGGGAGCTCCACACAGAAAACAAAGACAAACTGTACTGTGTGTGTGCATTTTCATACAAATGACAAAAGTTAATAAAATGCATCTTAATTGTGTAGTATTTTGAACTTTCTTCCAGGTAGAACTTTTTCTCTTCACCATTGAAAATTCATCTGACCGTTTTCTCTTGGATGGAATGGTAGAAATTTCTAGAACTACAGTTTTGGACGTGAGTTTTGAAGAATCTGAATTTTACCTCTAAAAATTAAATTTTTAATTGTTTCGTTTTGATTACAAGTCCTGTAGTTAAATATAATATCTAAGAAAGAAAGAAAAAGAAAGATAGAGTTTTATTCCTACATAATAAACAAATATATGAACATAGAGAATATTGATGATGAGTAAGTACAATGTCATCTCAAATCTTAAACTAACTTAGCACTACTGTTAAAAAAGGCATTTAAAGTATAAAATGCATTGTCATACAAGTATTGCCTGACCTTCTTCAAAAAACAATTGTTAAAGTCTGTGTCTTTTTCTAATAATAAGAATTGATTAACTACCCTACAAGTCATATAATCAGGAGATTTTTCAAATTTTGCTGTTGAGTGCGAGAGATATATTATGAAATGACGTCTTGTGTTATACGCATTCGTGTGATTTTCAAAAAGGATTCTATTTTTCATGAAGTGTTTACATAATTCATAAATATAAAGACAAGGTAAAGTTAATAATAATTTTGATTCTTGAAATATTTGTTGTCAGTGCTCATCAACCGGAATATGATGCAAAATTCTAATGGCCCTTTTCTGAATTTGGAATATTCTATTAAAATTTTCACACAAAGTACTACCCCAAATTACCAACCCATAAGTTAATCTAAATTGAATAGTTGCAAAGTAAACAGTTTTTAAAATGTTTTTATTAACTGAGTTAGTACTTTAAGAGCAAAACAAGAAGAATTTAATTTTTACTTAAAGTATCAATAGGCTATGTATAGAAAATTCTAATTTCACATCGATGGTTATTCTTAAAAATTTATAAAAAAGATTAGGATAGCATTGGTTGTTTTAAATCAATCAAATTAGAAAAATGAGTAATATTAGTTTTATTTATTTTTAACTAAATTATAGAATAGAGTAATTCTTACATATTTGTTGCAGATTGTTGAAACAGCGTTAACACTAATGGTTGTCCTGCTCCAGCTTAGAGTGTCTACATAGATGCTGCTAAATAAAATGTACCAGTACAATAACAATTCATTGTAACATGTCGTAATCGCTGTCGTCAGCACGTTGTTCCCAAAACCACTGAGTGTGAGCAGTCAGGGAACTTAGAAGTATTGAAGCTTTCCTGTCATTCCTGGAAAAAAGAACTTTCTATCGCTGTCCGATCATTGGAAAATAAAAGAGTGTGTGGACTTGATTGCACCCCCTCTGAGGTGTTAAGGGAGATTAATCCAAGGCTACTCGTAGACGCTTAACCCGAGCAAAGCACAAAGCATCTTTTACTCTAGGAAGGTGGCTTGTGTTGACTTTATCCCAAATACAAAACTGTGTGTCAAAAATCAGAGATCCCCTTCTCTTATTTACTCTTAGAGCTTGAGCCACATTTTATCAATTAAGCTGTATCTTTTTTTGTTGGTTAGCTACAGTCTTCGTCATAATATAGATACACACATATCTTTTTTACAAAACAAAAATTACCTGTTAACTAACTATAACTGCAAATTTCAAAAGAGTATTCTAGTGTTATTTATAAAAGTAACCTCAAAAAATGTTATCTTTAACGGGGAAAATTTGAAAAGGATTTTTCCCGTTCCTCCATCACTGCCTGACAGAGCCCTTGGGAGATAAGGGAATGTTTAATGGGTTTTTCATCTGCCCTCGCAAAAATAATTGTTGATTACTATTTACTATTATAACATGAAGATAACAGGTTTATCTGTTGGGTGTATATAGTTACCAACAAATTAAGGTATAAATAAATTGGAATTCAATATTAATAATGTAAAAACATTTTTCTGGTGTGTTTGTATTAATATTAAACAGAAGAATTAAAAAAAAAACTTTCTGGTGTTTTATGGTGCTCTTTAAAATATACCGGTACATTAGAACCAAAATATAGGTACCTTCATTCCAGTAGAAGCAGAGTTTAAGCTGCGGTAGTTTTTTTAGCTTTTCGCTATTCATAAATAAAAAATGCTACATTGTTTTCACAAGCTATATCAAATTTACTACAAATAAAATTGAAGATTTAATGTTCAAAAATGTAGTATTACTGGATTATTTTTAATGTTTAAAAAATATAATATTTTTGTTACAGTTGTCTGAGAGTTTGTAGTATTTTTCCTAAAAAAAATTTCATCCCAGCCTACCCTGAGTAGGGAGTGGTATAATTATTGATCATAACAAATTACCAGAACGTGCAGTCGATTATCAAGCTAAATAGTTTCAACAGGTGTTTTAGTCGCAGCTCGAAATGTTAAACTGAAAATTTAACAAACTTTTGGCTGAGTGTATACACTCTATATAACCTGGAAAGATTTTGTGTATTTGTCCCTTAGGTAATAAAAATATAAAAATATTTTACAAACCTCGGTCTAAAATGCCTAGTTTTCTGTCAGTCTGTATGTATGAGACTTTTAATCATCCTCCAAGCGATAGACTTCAAACTTAGTACATGAGCGATGGGATATACTAATCTCTAAACCAATCTCCAAACAAAGTATCATATTTCTTTTGTAGGCCTGTCAATTAAATTTTTAGATCTTATACTTACATTGTAAAAATCTTTTCACAAACTAGGATAGGCTATTCTAGTTTATTTGAGGCCGTACATGTTCTGGATATCTTACAGGCACGGCAAGGGGAAAAATTAATACAATATAAGAATCCCCTTAAATAAAATATGTACTGCAATTTGGGGTGATTTGATACACTAGGGTAATTTCATACAAAACAAACATAGTAGGTACTTTATAAAATACCTTGTATTGTACAACTCAAGGAATAGGTTGGCAGCAATGATGTTTTTTACTCCCAGGATACCATTCAACACTTTAGACAGTCAGCTGGTGTCTCCCTCCAATTGCAGTGCTTTGTTTTGCTGTTTGGATTGCAGAGTAAAAATGCAACATTTTTAACCCTCTGGAAACTGGTTGGCGAAGAGGGTTGCTGAAGGGTTTTAAACCCAAGATTCCCAGAAAAGCTAATCAATAATGTTATTTTCAATACTCCTATTGCTATTCGCTTTGAAATCAGTTTCAAAAATATTTGTAGTTAAAAAAACTTTGGTTCAAGCTTCGGGTGACAGTGAAATATTCTGATCTTTTGTGTCTTTTGTGCCAGTTTGGACTCTTTTCCAATCAGGTATGCCTGCTATCCTCACAAAAAATCCAAAAAATTTGCATAAATAGTATCATAAAGATTAAAATATCTTTATTGTTCATATAATAATTTAACAGTTTAGCATTATACAATTTCCTAAAAACATGCGTCCTTCATAGTTTTTAGCAGACACACTTATTCTTAAGTTACCAATATTTGAGATAGAACATAAAATGGCTAATTTGAATTGGTATAAATCAAAAATCTAATAGGTACCTTGGGTAAAGGATTCTACTTGTATTGGTACTACAGTAATTAAGTTGTACCTTCAGTATCTAATAGTCAATGGTTGTATTAAGTTTATCTCCATCTAAGGAACAAATACTTAAAGGTTTAATCAAATAGTTTTTGTTACAGCCTATATTGGTTTGTTCAATGTTAAATAATAATTCATTTGAACCATGAATGTACTATTTTTTTAAACTTTTATATACAGTTCTGACAGTCGCTCTTGACGTCATGAAGCCCCCACGCTCTTGACGCTTCCCCACCACCGCAGCCAATCACACACTGAC